GATAAGTTTGTTGGAGACATTTTGAAAGATTTGCCTTTCCTGGTGAGGTATGGGGCTCAAAGTGCCTCAGTAAATACCTGGGTGGAATGAATGAATTACTCATTAAAGACTATGAAATGTGACATTATTTATAAATAGGGTATGTTAGATGTAATGTGGTTGTAACACATGAGTTTAATATCGAAGCTTTTTTGATCATAACTGGGTTAAAATCAACATGGTTTTAATCTTAGAGTAAAATCATTCCACCTGCGTGTTTTTAATTAATGAATTAATCGATGAATATTTGTTGATGTTGACCTCACTGTTAGAGACACACAGTGGAGTCTGGGTTCTTAAATCCCTAATGAACTGCTCTTTGGAGCCTACCACCCACATTCTATGACCAAAAGGAAAGGTGGCTGTGATTTTTAAAAATAAATTGTTAAAAAGATGAAATCTGTGCTGTGTTTGGAGGCATGTGGTTTAAAATAAGCGTGTAATTCCTTTCATCTCATAGTGACGACCCTGCTGTAGCTTCGCTGGTCAGACAGAAGGAATTTGATGGACCCGTGCACTGGCATCCTGCAGACCCCTCAGTGACGACTACTACAGGACAAAGTGTCAGTTCAATGGTCAGTGCTGCGACTCTGGTGAAATAAATTAAGATCAGTGTCACTCTCTTCCTGTTATTTTATAATGAAAAGTTATCGTGTTATGAGCCAAGAGTTATACTTCTTGATTAATAACAGTGTACTAGATGTTTAGAGGTGTGTCAGTGAGGCAGGTGATGGACAAGCCCCCCTTGGTTGCTGACGGTCACGTGTCCATGGCACGCAGCTCTCTCAGGAGGAAGTGCATGGATAATGGCATTTGTCCCCACAGAAGTTAGAAGCTTTTTTAAGCAAAGACAGCTTGCAGTTTGACACCTGTGTGTTCCTTGACCTAAGAAATATTGAAGCCAAAGGCTTCTGAGCAGTTTCAGCAGCTTTCACGGCACTCAGTTGACTGCTCGTCACAAGTATAGTGGTTCACCGCCATGGTGCTC